GTTGTTACCCAAAGCTACTTAGTACAACAGTCTAGTGGTATTTCTCTTCATTTGTAATTGAGAAGTTTTAGGTTTGATTATCGTCAAAGATGAATTTGAACCACATTATTACTAACTCATTGTGCGGCTTAGCCCACTCTTCCATCCTTTTAGTGTAAATAATATCATTTGTTAACAAAAAATGTTGTTACCGAAAACATTTAGTAAAAGGAAATGATTGTTAACCAAACAAAAAGGTGGAGGGGTAACTTATATGAAATAAATTTATTATCATGTAGCGTCCCAGTTAATAATACCTTGTCTTGTATAGAAAAATTGCACATAACAATGCACTATTGGACAAAAGATTATACGTGGGGGGTGAGCTTGTTCTATATAAGTTGTTTTGGAGAGTTGAATGCTTGATTGTATAAAAGTTTTGCAAAAGTATGTAGCTGTGAATTTTTTAAATATCCATGTGGGCCCACATTGACATGTGGCACCCAATCATTATTCACGTGGGCGCCATGTCACAGGTTAAACGGCTATTTTAACAGAAAGGTTAACATATGTATGAAAAGTATCCTAAAGTTATCACTTTACGTACCAGACTGAGATGAAAAAAATTTGATGTATGAAATGTTCAAACAAAAAAAATTTTAGGATAGGAAATTGAGAATTAGAATACTAAAATAAGAATTACTCTAAAAATTATGATTGATTTTTCTTTTGTAACTATAAAAGAATGTTTTGTTAATATATTTAAGGAAAACTAATGAAAAAGACTTGAAAATTTTGAGTTTTAACGATAAGGACAAAATAAATAGTAAAATGAATAATATCATGTTTGATTTTTTAATGTAAAAATATGATTTTTTTTGTTAAAATGAACAATACTACAAAATTTTTTTTATTAAAACTCCCATATATTTATTGATGGAGGAGATAGAATTTTCGTCATCCCAATCCCCAGACGAAGATTGCAGCAGCAGGCTTTTTGGAAGCAAGGAAAGAAGCTAAAGTTGCAAAGTAAACGCTTTTTGTTTCCGCGTCCAACAAACAAAAAACCTCCTCATATGTCATCCTTCTGTCATCGTTTTTTTTAATTTTTTATTTCACAATTATTGTATTGTTTTTATATTTCACGGAAAATCTTATGATGGACCATTCTTTGCTTGCGCACAAGTAAATTGATGACATTGGGTCACTACCGAGGCCAATCAGGCTTAAGTAATTTTAAGGTCACCCAACAGATAATTCTATCACTGAAAAGCAATAATAGAATGATATTGTAACTAGGGCTCGTTTGTTAGGGGATCCCGAACTAAAAATGAGATCCTAATCCCGAACTGATCATTTTCGAGATAGGAATTTGAAGACTCATCCCAATCTAAAATTTTTGGTATTCCCAAAATGTTTTTGGTATTTTACGAAATGTTTTTTGTATTTCAGAATTGATCATAACTCACATTCACAAAACAAATATAACTTCACATATTCACAAAACAAGCATGAATGTGTATTTGCGTACTCTCAGCAAACCAATAAGGGCAGTCATTCCATCACAAGTCTAAAACAAGGATCCACGGCAAACAACCAGGATTGAAAGAACAAATTTGTTAACCTTAATGCCTCGATTTTCGAACTAATACAATCTATTGCATACTCAAATCAATTACCCATATCACTGAATTTCACAAACTTAAACCCTAGACATTAATTCGAAACCCCAATTATTCCAAAATTGTACCTGATTTAGGGGAAAAAAAACTCTATGCTAGGTCGAGGATTCAAGAGACAATACCCTCACACTCTAAGTGTCTGAGAGAGATAGAATCACGAAAGAGAGAGAATCGTGAGAGAGAGGGGTGGTTGCGTGTGGTGGAGGGAGGCTGGAGAGTCGGAGATGCTATGCGTGGTGGTGGGCCGTGGCTGGCCGGAGTTGAGTTGAGTTAAGCTGAGCTGAGGTCCAGTTCGAATTCGAGACAAGAGAGGGGTGGGTGGTTGAGCTTCGAAATGAAATGAGGGAGACTTAGGGCTGGAGACCCCTAACAAAGAATGGACGAGCCATATCATTTTGAAACAATCCAACGGTTGCAATTAATTCTAACTATAATTAAAACATAAATGTATAATATATATATATATATATATATATTTTCCATTCGGTTCGGGACATTAAATAGGCAATCCTAAATTCCGTGCCGAATGGTTTGGGATCAGTTTGGTATGGTATACCAAAAATTTTAGGAATTTCAGTTTGGGACTTTTTGGGCTTGGGGTCGAGATTTTTTTTTCCAGCCCTAATTGTGACAATATTTTAAGTTAATTAAAAATTAAGGAACTGTTATTGGCACTTCAAAAATCTCATTTTGCATCATCACAAATGTATTTTTCTTTGTAAATATAGAAAGTTTGGAGTGTAAAATGAAAATTTTGAAATGCCAATAACATTTCCATAAATTATTATGTACATAGTTTACTTCTCAATAAATATTGTAATACTTGATTGATATAAGTTATTATCTCATCAACATTTCATTATAAGTAAGTCCTTCTCGAGAGGAGATGAAGACCGTTAGTTTGACCTCTCAATGGTATTTATGGAGTCCCATTTTTTATGAGGGTCTGGAAGGAGAATGTGCATGGAGGTCAGGTCAGTTGGCTACTGGCAGACCCTTAGGCCATCTCCAACTGAGGGCTGGCCAGATGACTCGTTTTAGCCCTATGGCCTTCTAAGATATTAATATTTTAATGAATAGTACAATTCCATATTTGCCTTCATCTCCAACTGAGGGCCAAAGGGTCATAAGGCTTGTTTTAGCCCTATTACAAAAAACCATTTCCAATTGAGGGCCAAACATAATTTATTATTTAAATTAAAAAACTACAACAACTTAAATTCAAATCCAACAACAATTTAAATTTAAAAACTACAACGGTTACTGTCCAAAAAAACCAAAAAAAATTATAACTTAAATATAATGAATGGTTTAGGTATTTATAGGAAAAAAAAATATAGAATTTTTAAGAATTAAAAAAAAAAGGCCCAAAAACCAAAAAAAAAAAAAGAAAAAAAAAATTGAATACAACGGCTAGTCAGCTAGCCGTTGGATTCAAATTTTTGTTTAAGCATTCTTGTTGCTTATATCCAACATGATTTTTTGAATTTCTGGCCAGTCTTGGGCTGGCTAGTTGCATGCGGCCAACCCTTTGGCCCTTTCAGATTCCGTGGGGCCCACGAGCCCTCTGGCCTAATCATCGGTTGGAGACGGTTTTCAGGCTATTTTCGGCCCTCTAGACCTCTGGACCCTTCGGTTGGAGATGGCCTTAAATGATCGTTGGTTTATGCTTAGAGACTTTAAGTGATGACTTTGGAAACGAGAAAGTCATCATGATCATAACCGCACGAAGTAAATAATATGCTCCTACAATACTCTATGACTTTAAGTACATCAAATGTTAATAAGATAGATGAACATAATGAGTGCTCGTCCATTTATTTTTCGTCGTATTGAATATGTTTTCCTCTTTTTTGCCGGACAGGGTTGCTTAAAAGGATTTCTTTTGTTCTTTTTTAATTTAGATGCATGAGCGTGCCATCACATGGTCAAGATTGGTTAATGTAGAAAAAATGTCAAAGTGATTGTGTTTTCGCCTTGGATTTGACTTTTAATTAAACGATTTAACGGCCAAGCAAGAAACCTCTTCTCAGCCTAGGTATTCTCTCTACCTCGAAGACAAGGCTTTGACCGAACAACCAAATGATGATGGTGAAGATCGAGTGAGAAAGTAAAATTTAATGAAAATAATTGAGATTAAAATTAATCTATCAGCGATAAAATAAATTAAATTAAGAATGGTGCGTGAAATAAAAGTGCTTTGAAAGTTAATAAAATTAAAAGATGAGACAAAATGTAAAATGCGTAAAATAAAGAATTGAAAGAAAAGTGCGTATTTAAAATACAAATGCATAAATTAAATTGCTTAAAGTAAAGAAATCAAAATACAAGTTCAGGAAGTAAATTGTACAAAACTAAAATAATCTAGACTAGGACTAACATTATACTAGGATAGAATGTGAAGAGAAGTAGCATAACAAGTTGTGTGTTTGGTCGAATCATTTTCTCTTCCTCAAAACTTGTATTTATAAGGTGATTTGGATCCGATTTATGTACCATGATTTGATATTATTTCCAACTTTTTTTTAAGTCCAATTGAGAAGGGGGGTTGTATCTGTATGTTTATTTTCCTTTTGTCAAACGATATATTTTGTTAAATTAGATATTAGAATAGTCATTGACAAGGTTCGAACTATTGTCGTCAACTCCTTTCTACCACTGTGGTAAATGACCATTTACGGTTGAGTGTTACAATGTTTTCATCCCTAAATATAGGTCATCGTTCAACACTCAATTTTGTACACATGCAGACCAAAAGATACGTACGGAACCGTTTTCTTTTTTGGGTTTGCTACTTTGTTTTGTTCGTTCCCACAGATAACTTGAATCCTTACTGGAGGTGGGAGAGTAAACGCATTTAATTTGTATCCATTGGATAATTGTTTAATAACGTAACGGTAACCATTAAGGACCCTTACATTGTTTTTTTAGCAAACGCAACTTCATTTTCCGAAGCTATATATAGAAATATTCAGCCAACCAACCCTCAGCAAATTCATCATCCTGAAAGGGGAGTCATTGCTGCTAAAAAGAAATCCAACATTGTAATGGGAAACTTTGCCAAACTTAAATATGATTTATATTGATCGAGTTTACTCTATTTACACGGAGACATTTTGTAATAAAACCCTCAAACTTGGTGCACAAGTTACTGACTAGAGTGTCGGAATTCATCAATATATATTTTAGGTGTTGCCAGGCCCATTACGGTCCCAACCTGCACTCTGTTGGATCACTTCGGCTGGTTTCTATTTGGGCTTTCTGCTCCCATTGACATCATTGAAGAACACGGATATCTAAGTCACCATAACTACACACAAATATATTTGGAAGACAAAGTACAATGCAATTCAATCTTTCGATTCCAACACCAGTCTGAAGTAACAAAGAACCATTTCCGGTCACAAGCAACAGAAGAAAGAAAATGCACCATACACGTGAATACCATCCTCGACGGCCAAGTAATGAATAAAAAATTATAGTTCCCCAGAAATCTATGATGGTAAAGAGGGGAGAGGGTTAAGTATCAATGTACCTAAATGAATAGACTAGCAATATGAAATTTCAAAAACCATCTAGTCTGCCAATTTCTGCAAGCGGTGAATGGTGCTTCTTGCAACCCTGTTACCAGGATCAAACTTCAGAGCCGTCCTAAGATCTTCTGCCCCAAGTCTGTACTTTTCCATACTTTCGTACAAGAGCGCACGCTGTACCAGAACAGATACATTTGCTTCATCTTTATCAAGAACCTGCACAGGATTGAACATATCTATGAACTCTTTTCTACACAGAAATAAAGGAGATGGAACACTTCATTTCATTAGAATTTAAACCAATGCAGAGCCTTGATGGGCAGAAAGAGCAATTGTAAAAAATAAATTTGTAAGCCGTGTCTAGCAGAAACATACATCTATGTACAGTGATGCACTGAAAATAGCTAGAGAAGAGGAAAAATGCTATTTTGGTTTGAAAACCCTACATGCATCTACGAAACAGATGAACATGGGTGAGGGGTGGGGGTGCCACCCACAAGGCCAAAGCAGCAACATCGGACTTTTAGCTGGTCTCTAAGCAGGGATACAATGGAAACTTCATACGCTAATGATCCCTTTTCTTTTTATCTTACGAAAGGAATTCAAGTAATATCTACCCCCTAACCGCATCTCATGCCAAACTGGGATAAGGCTATCAGTATTGCACTAACATTCCTTTTACTATGACATTTCCATCTAATTCACACGGCTAACAAATCGTGCAGCTATACAATACAATGTCAGGCCAATAGGATTAAAAAAATGATCCAACAATTAAATCCCATGCATTCACAATTTGGAAGATACAAACTGAATTATTGAATGCCAATGAAAATTTTAAAATACCTAAATAGATTTAAGGAAAGCAATAAAGATACCTTTGTGCAGTCTGCCACAGCTTTCTTATACTCCCCTACTTCTTTGTAACATGAAGCCCTGCTTGACAAGACATCTGCAACGCCAGCATTATCAGCTGATTTCTCAAGAAGAATAACAGCCCAAGAAAACCACTTAATAGCATCGGGATACTGCCCTTGCTTGTAATTATCCATTCCTTTATTCTTTGCTGTTGAGGCTGACACCCCAGCAGGAGGAGGTGGAAGACCCTCAAGCTCAGTTGTCGAACCACTGTCATCATGTCCTCCCCCAAACTCTGTCCCCCAACCATCAACTTCAGAGGATTGCTGCATTCCAACACCATTATTTGCTGTTGCAGCACCTCCAGCCGAACCTGAAGATGGGGTAAACAACACGCCGAAGGGATCATTGCTAGCAGACTGAGCAGGGGTTGGCTTCACCGAAACCCCAAAATCCCCAAAGCCAGAATCCGAATCTGATCCCATAAAACTGCTATCTGGGAAGGCACTCGAGGCGAATGTAGTATTGGTGGTGCTTGGTTTCGGTGCATTCTGAAAATCTCCAAAAGCATCACCAACACTACTTTGATCACTAGTTTTACTCGCTGAGTTAATAGTAGCAGATGGTTTTGATGCGAGATCCACCAAAGAACCAAAAGGGTCTTTCTTAGAGCTCAATCCACCGCCACCAACACTAGCACTGCCCATATTTTGCAGCGAAGGACCTCCAAGATTCGCACTCTTATTACTATTAGCGTTAACACCACTATTAACCTTATTAGCATTGCTATTAAACCCACCAGAGAAACTCCCAAAATTCCCAGAAGCACCATAATTTGCACCACCAATTTTCACCGAACTATTACTAGCAGCAGTGGTGGTTTTGGGCAACGAATCGGCCAGGTTCCCCATGGAAAACGAGCTCTTATTCGAAGCCGGGGTTGCATTCTTCAAAGGAACATTGCTATTACTATTGATCTTACCACCCATGGCGGAACTGACCAAATCCCCAAACAAATTTGGGTTTTTATTGACGACGGTGATCGGGGTGGCGGAAACCGCCGGAGCCGCGGAAGTCCAGCTCTTTCCGAAGATATCCCCGACCATGGAAGTCGGGGCGTTGGTCAATCCGGGTCGGGCGCTCTGGGTCGGAGCCGGCTGGTGGGTCCAGGAGGTGGTTCTGCTGGCGGTGGGTTGTTGCCAGGTGGGTCGGGATTGGGCGGCGGTGGCGGAGGAGGTGAAAGAAGAGGTCTTGTTCTTCTGGTCGTTGAGCGATTTGGGTCGGCTGGATCCGAGACCCAGATCGAAGTCGAAGTTGGAATTCATGGTAATGGAATTGAAATTGTTTACTATTCTGGATCAAAAGAAACGAGATCCGATTGCGCACCTGAAAGAAGAGAGTTTTCTGAGATCTGCAGATTCCGGAGAGAGCAGTAGCTAGATTGTCATCAAATAACGGAGTGGGGATGGGAACTGCAAATAATATGGTTTTAATATATTTTGGTGCCAATTATTCAGCTTTCTAATTTTGGTGAGTTTTTAACTGCTGAAGCATGAAATGAGGACGCATATTGTTTAGCTACTAACTATTGTATACAACAAATTTTGAGTACGTAAATAAGTGTTTTTAAAATAACTAAATGCGCTTAAAATAAAATTGTTTTTGAAACTTGAAGCAATAATTAAAATATCGTTATCGGTAAAATATCAATATTCAAATTTATGAAAATATCGATAGATATGTGAATATCGATATTGATTGCCTTTGATGGAAATGATAGGAATTTACTCAAAAATGTGAAAATTTAAAATGAAACTTTAGGAATGTCATATGAAATCACAATACATGTACGAATAAAAAAAATTAATAATTAAATAATGTGTAAAAAATAAGTATGTGATATGTGAGAAAGAAAGATAGATTCTCAGGCTCTCAGAAGAGGAAAGAGAAATATTTTTGTTTTTGTTTTTTTATAATGACATGGCTCAAAGGAGTTGTTCATCTAATATAAATAGGATAATGTTAAGGAAATCAAAATTTTAAATCAAATTATATAAACTAAATGATATGGTTGTTGATGATTGAATTATTAATTAAGCGTCAATTAACGTTTTATTTCTTATTGATCCCATATCATTTATTTTATAAATTTAATCTCTCTAACATTAATGTATCACTCTCTTCATTTGATAACTAATAGCAATCTGTTACAACCAGGACCACTCATCAACAGACTCAAAAGTGAGTTTAACTTTTTCACAAGATTAGGCTTGCGTGCCTCTGCAATTATTCTCTCTCTCAAGTTTCCCACTCCTGCTCTCTATTCATCTCTTATGTGTGATTTATGGCTCGATCGTTTCATCTTATATTTAATATTTTTAAGGCCTAAGATCTTTTCGAGGCATTTGTTTCGACGAATCTGAGTTTTTTTTTTTTTTTTTCCGTTCGAAAAAGTACCGATGTCTTCTTGATATATCAAAAATACTGAAACCGTCATACAAAAATTGAGGAGATTCTTCGATATAGGGTGAAGTTTAGACTTCACACCACTTTCCATATTGAAGAAATTTTAAACACTGAATTCAAAAATGTACTTAAGCGCTTTTGGAATTCAAAAGTGTCTTTAGTCATTTTAAAAACACTTCTAAACATGCTCTTAAATTAAAAATGTATACTTTAAACATGCTCTTAAACACTTCTAACCATAAGTGGTCGAACCCCTTTTCTCCACATAGGGGGCCGGCCACAGCCCTATAAATAGCTCACATTTCTCCCAAAAACCTAATTCCAACTCTCTTGCAAAATTCTCTAAATTCTCTAAACACTTTTCCCTCAAATTCTAACTTTGGCATCGGAGGTTCTTCGGCCAAAGCCCCCCATTCATCGTGGGTGTGTGAGGCTTTGGCCTTGACCTAAGGTGTTAATTGTTTTGCAGGTGCATTTTCGTCCAAGAAGAAGAAGGCGAAAGTTTGCATCCACAAATTGGTGCTCATTGAGAGTTTAAGTCACACGCTCGTAAAAGACTCTCGCATTCAAGGTTTTTTGTTTTCTTGTTCATTTGTAGATTTTTCGTACGTTCTTATTCTTGGAATTTTTATTTATAAGAATTCTTTAATAGAACGTAAAAGAAAAGTACAATGGCAAGAGATTCGGAAACCTCGAAGAACAGAAATTCTAACGTTCAAGAATTAGGACCACGACAATCCATAAGGCTCGACACGATAATGAGTGGAGCGGCACCACCCCCCACGGGGCATCACCGTAGCAACCATCACGGTGGCTAGCCTCAGTAAAGCCCATAGCGCCAAGACCACAACCTCAGCCGCGCCATTTAAGACCTCGCGGGCCCAAGCCCAAGGCAAGCCGGCCTAAGCCGACCATGGCAAGTTGGCCTGAGCCGCCCAAGCCCAACGCATTGCTAAGCCGAGCCTAAGCCCATCATCCATGTGCGCCACACGCCAAGTAGCCCACTCTCATGGCCTTTCAAGCAATTCCCACCTGTCCAAGACTGGTTCAACTGTCCCGGTTTCAGATTTTTAGGCTGATGATTGAACCAAGGGTATTTTCACCACATTTCTCCGCAGATTTGACATTTCCCAACTCAAATCTCGCGCCTGGAGTCTAATACATTTCCACTACCCAATGAGACGCATTTCGTCCAAGCTCTTCCAACCCAAACGATGAACAACACTTATCTCAACAAGTAATAGAGTTAACAAGTGCTCTTGCATAGCAGACAACCTTGGTGAATTAGCTTTACTTTTGCAGCGCACCGAGATCCAATGTGCCTCAGACGAGGTGTCCTGAAGTAAGACAAATGCAGACGATGAACCTTTCCAGTAGCGTTTTTGTAAGCAGCCACTCAACCAACCACGAATCGAGTGTTCGAGCAGTGTACACTCCCGACTATGCCCTCGAGATAGCGTATACTCCAGTTTTAGCGCGCGAAGGAGCGTGCACTATTGATTAGGCCTATGGACGAGTATACATTCACGGTTGGGGCCACACACTGATAGTCAACATGAACAACCTTCCAAGCAAAGTGTTTATTCACGGTTAAGCTCGCAAGGAGCATTATTCATGTCACATCGGAGTAGGCAGCAAGAAGGACGGAGAGAAGTAGTCACTTAATCTGGCTCAAGTTCAACTAGCAGCTTGCGAAGAATTCCTTCGCCTGCTAGGAATGAACCACATGCACTGCCGCCGTGACATAGATGAGCTGAGTACATAGAAGAGCAGCCTAGATTGGCAAGCCAAGATCGGGGGTAACCGAGGGCTCCACTACCCCCAACAAAGGAAAATTCAGGAAGAGGTAGAGAGGATCTTAAATGAGAGATTGCATGATTTTCAATGAAACAAATTCGCCGATGAAGCGCTATGACGGGACATGACTAATATGATTAAGTCACCATTCAGGGACGAGATTGAGCAGGCGGAGCCTCCATGCAAATTCAACATGCCACATTTCACATTTTTCAAAAGAGATGGAGATATAGAGAGACACTTGAAGCACTACCAAAGCACAATGATCCTTTATCGGAACAACGATGCTTTTATGTGCAAGATATTCGCCACCATTTTGCAAGGCGAGGCACAAGATTGGTTCCACACCTTACCGCCACGGTCCATCCGGAGTTTCGATGATCTTTCTTTAGTTTTCACCAAAGAATATTCATCCTACCGCTCGATCAAAAAGAAGTCTGACCTTTTGTTCAATGTGAAGAAGAACCCAAAGGAATTGCTCTGCAACTATATGAAGAGGTTCAAAGTAGAAAAGCAAAGATAGTTGGATACAACGACTCGATAGCTAGAGCAACCTTCCAAAAATGACTTCCAGTAGACCACCTGTTGTTCGAAAAATGATCATGAAAGAAGATCTAACTCTGGTAGACACTTTCCATCTGGTAGAGAAGCATGTACTTTGGGACGAGGCTCGCCGATGCACATTCAAGGGCTTGAAAAAGTACCTGACATCACCTCTCTACTATAAAAAACGAAAGCAGTGGAGAACCTATTCATATGTTTAACGGTATCTGAAGCAGCAATAGGCTCTACCCATATACGAGAAGAGCTGGGGGCTCGACTACCTGCATTCGACAATTCAAAAGCTCTCCTCGATGCGGAAACAGGTCATCTCCGTATCCCTTTGGTGAGGATTTTGGGAATCCGTAAATCGTGTTCGTTCATCGTACATCGTGCGGTCAGTTTTTGTCAGGTACTGTTTGTGTTTAATTTTAAATAAAAATATTTAAAATGATTTCTAACTGCACGATGTACGATAAATGGACACAATTCACAGATCTCCGAGATCCTCACAAAGAGAATTTGACGAGGATCTAAATTCTACTATTTGGTCGAAGAAATCAAAAGAGGCATGGTTTATGTCCCATATTTTTCTGTTTTTTGTTTTTCTTGCTCAAAAGATTTATATTCTTCCTAATTAGGTGTAATTTTTTTTTAAAAATTTTTATCAATAAATTTTTTTTGTACAATCGATGTTTTGAAAAAAAAAAAACATTTATTTAGGGTAAAAAGTTAAATGTATTATTCGCCGTCCTTTTTTAGTCAGGATATATTATTCCCCGTTCTTGTTTCCTTGTTTGACCGGTTAACATGCTAGTGATTCCCAAAAATTGAATGATTTAGTTAGAAAGTTATTTTGGAGAATCCGATACCCTCCTTTAAATCAACAGAATAATTAATGGTTCAAAATCAAAGTATACTAATCACTTAGTATTACAGTCTACTGATATTTCTCTTTACTTAAAAGTGAGAGATCTTAGGTTCGATTCTCGCCAAAAACGAATTTGAACCATATTATTGCTAGCCCATTGTAAGGCTAATCCTATCCTCTCCCTTTTAATGTAGATAATATCGTTTGTTCAAAAAAAAAAAAAAGTATACTAGATTCGTCGTCCAATAATACGGTCTAATGATATTCATTTTTATTTGTAAGTGAGAAATCTTATGTTTTCGATCTTGAAAATAATGAATTCGCAACCAATTTATTATTCAACGTTTTAGTGTAAATATATAGTCATATTTAAAAAATGGGTGATTTCGTATAAAATTAATAAAAAGTTACAATATTAACAATACATCAACAATATTTATATTAATTCCAAATAGGTTATGTATTGTGATACTTAAATGTATTTAAAATACGCAAAAATTACAAAATATGCCACTACCGACACCCACTTCACTGACGCCCCCTTTGTCATTTATTTATTATTATTATTATTATTTTTTCTGTAAATAGATATAGGATTGGGTACAGACGAGGAGGTTGTGATATGGATATTAGGACACAGGAATAAACGCCAAAGGAGAAAAATCAAAGACACCTACCAACAACTTTACAATAAATTCTTCCTCGATGATCTCCAGTCTGAACTTCTGGAGATTTCAAAGTAATTTTTTCAAACATTTTTTCGATTTTAAAAGTAGTATGTGAATTCATCAAATTAAAAATTTAAACCTTCATAAGAATGTCATGTTGTTAATGTTTTTGTTGATGTTTTTCCAGCATTAACAAATAAATTCTAACTATTTA